TTGTGAACACACAACCTCTAACTTGAACACAAAGTGTTCACACTTTGTGTTCAAGTGTTCAAGTGTTCACACCTCTAACTTGAACACAAAGTTGTTGGAATCTTAGCAAAAGCAGACCTCGAGAATAGACCTCGAGAGCTTCAGCAGAAAAGAATTAGATTATTTTGCTACCTGCAGAGATTACTGCAGACCGTCTGATGAGTTTGAAGGAGTGCAGAACTGTTCGTGAGCGCGGCGTCTTGTCCTGGAAGCAGCCAAGTGCAAAAACATTGCGCACACTCACGCTATACGAGCGTGCGCGCCTGCAACAGTACTCAACACTCACGCTATACGCGCGTGCGCGCCTGCAACAGTACTCAACACTCACGCTATACGCGCGTGCGCTCCTGCAACAGTACTCAACACTCACGCTATACGCGCGTGCGCTCCTGCAACAGTACTCAACACTCACGCTATACGCGCGTGCGCTCCTGCAACAGTACGCAACACTCACGCTGAGCACTATTGAGTTTTTATTACTTTAACAGCAGCTTTAACATCACTTCAGGTTTGTTTGGTTAAAATACATTTTAGCACTTCTACTCGCTAAGCTTACGAGGAATATCAGTTTCTTCTACCGGTATTTTTTATCGCCCATCTTCTCAAATTTATTAAATGGAAATACGTACGTTTCAATGGGTATATGTATTTACACCACATTCGCCAAATTTTTGTCGGTCAGGAGGAAAGGACAAAATTAGACCATAACGTAAAAGATCCCGAATATTGCACCCGCCCTAATTTTCGTCATGAGGAACGGACGAAATATCTTTCTAATATAAGAGATGACGATTCGCCCAATATTTGTCGGTCCCTATTAATGGACAAAATTAGAATATTGCACCTTCCCTTATTTTTCGTCCTGAGGAACGGACGAAATATCTCTATAATATAAGAGACGACGAACGAAGCCCCCGACATATTCTCTAACCTTACCAGGGCGTGGCCCGCTGCTCCGACACGATACACTTGGCTTGCCCCCCGCCGGCCTTGGGCTAGACACTCCAGCAGCTGTGTCTCTCCAGGCAGCGAGGCTTCTTATTTTCCGCTCTTTTTTTCTTGAACTTAAGGGAATGGAACTTTGCTGCTACGCATTGATGTGGGAAGCCTGGCCTTTGTTGTAAGCCCTTGTATATAAGTAAAGTGATCCTGCTAAAGTAATATGATAAAAAATATTCTATGTAGAATATAGAGTTATTATTCGAAACTGAGAGTGAGGGAACAGAATGTGGAAATGATGGATGATGCTGCTAAAGTAATATGATAAAAACTATTCTATGTAGAATATAGAGTTATTACTTGTGAAATGAGAGCGAGAGAACAGAATGTGGAAATGATGGATAATGCTGCTAAATAATTAGATAAAAAAATATTCTATGTAGAATATAAAGTTATTACTTGAGAAATGAGAGCGAGGGAACACAATGTGGAAATGATAGATAGAGGACATCTAAATGCGATGCTGCAATCAAAGGAATGATAGGCGCTATCAGTGCTGCCTTGTCGACAAGGCAATCGCCTTGAGAGGTCTGAAGATTTTTTGCTCTATAAATGAGTGTTCCTGGATGATATTGGTGCACTGGTTTGTGACTTTCCTTGACATTTTTTTCTTAAATTAACCAAGCTAAATTTATGGTAATATATCTGCGACTGACTGACACTTATCAAAATAAATACATTTGTTGTTAATTAGCATTTGAATGGGGACATAACTTACTTAAATTTTCCTTATAACACGAACCCGATTTTATTAAAAATTACGGCCTAATAAACAGCAGTGACAGAAACAGTTTTCTTGAAGTGTTTGGATAATTATATAATTGATGTTTTGAGAATTTATTCACTACTTCTGATTTGTGGAGTAAATTCGAGTGAAACTTGAGTTCGTAATATTGATTGTGATATACAAGCTGTTGGAAGTTCGGCAACAAGCCATATGGGCCTATTTCTTCAATTCCGACACTTCTATTCTAAGTATATTAGGTATCCTGAAAACGAGGGCATGAGGGGGGCATAACTTTCTTAAATTTTCTTGTTAACATGAACCTGCCTGCTATTAAAAATGACGGCCTAATAAACAGCAGTGGCAGTTAAAAAACAGTTTTTGTGAAGTGTTTGGATGATTATATAATTGATGCTTTGAGAATTCATTCACTACTTCTGATTTGTGGAGTAAATTCGAGTGAAACTTAAGTTCGTAATATTGATTGTGATATAAAAGCTATTGGAAGTTCGGCAACAAGCCATGGGCCTATTTCTTCAATGCCGACACTTCTATTCTAAGTATATTAGGTATCCTGAAAACGAGGGCATGAACGATGAACGCGGAAGTTTATTGCCCAACCTCATCATCTTGTTTTATTATCTCGTCAGTCATTCCTGTTTTATAATCCCTTGAATTATATCTTAATAGAGTATCACCCACGAGGATCATAATAGTAGTTGTAGGGAGAGGCACGGCAACATATCAAGAAGATCTCGCGTCATCTTATCGTTAGTACAAGAATTGTTCTCGATAAGATAACAGCTATTGCTGGTCGTCGTGGCGCCTTTGGTTGTTATAAGGATGTGATCTGTCGCATGACGAAGCTGCGCATTATACTAGCCAATTTTTTGATAAAATAAGATGAAATTCGTGAGTGAGTTGAGAAATCATTTGTAATTATTATTATTAAGCCGCCACCGTAATTATTTTTAAGGTGTACACTGTTTTTGCAATTTTCTTGGATTGAATCTAAATTCGCACGAAAACAATTCAGATCAATCGCCCAACTATTATTTTGATGGATTTTGATTGAAAAAAAACCAGGTCTGTGTGATATTTGGTTGTTTAAATTGTGTTGCAAGCGCTATATTAACACGCCTATACAAAAAACTGCTGTACCTCTGCGCATATTTATCTATCTGACAAACTTACTCGAGTTAATTTTTTTGCGATAAGCTCTGTTTAAAATGACCAATGAATGCAACAAAAAAAAGCATGTAAATGTCAAGATGATTAGTGGGCCTGAAAGTTCTTGTGTTCGTACGGAGGACGAATTAAAGTGTTGGTGAATGAAGTGCAATAATAAGATAAGTGCAAGAGGCTCAGAGTTCTGCTGACATTTGTGATAAAGACGAAAGAAACAGAATAATAAACTGAGTCATGTTAACGAGACGACGACTAGCTGTGCAGAAATTGTCTGTTAGACGAATTTATAACTAAGAACAATATAGCAACGAAAAATATTCGTTATAATATCTAGTGTAACTTTCATGCATCATCAAAGCGCTTTTGGTTTTTCAGAGACGGATTCAGACTTTCTTTCGAATTTAGATGTTAGCAAAATCTATATTGGGTTTGTTTAAATGGACAACTTTGAGCTTACGAGTTATCACTCGAATATATATATTACCGCGCTGATGTGTACAAGTTCAGATATCAGCGAGAGTTAATTGTACGGATAGTGAAGGAGTCGGCTACGTTCTATCTCGGCATTACAATACTGCAAAACACCTCCACCCTCATGACAATTTTTGGTTTAAAAATCAAGTAGTAAAATACTGCTACGTTCGCCAGCAAATATTTCCCTGAATGCGATGCATTTGACCGGTATTACGGTTATTGACACTCACTGCAACGCTCTACGGTTGAGAGTTCCTTATTTCCGCTCATCCTTTACTGTTGGTGGCGGCCGTTAGGCACTTGCATGCAGCATGCTAGGCGCCACGACACACCGCTAGCGCAGGGGTGTGTGGCGCATCTACACACCACACACATTCACACACACAGGATCATAATGCCAACACATACCGCAATCACCGAACACACACTCACACACACACACTCACCATTATCACACCACGCATAACACAATCACCGTACACAACACATTACAAGCAACTGTATCTTCCCTTGAATAATAAATTATGTTATTTGATTATCCTTTGCTAAATAAATAAAATAATTGGCATGTTTCTAATTTATTGTTCAGAAATCTATCAAGTCGTAAAATAAAGCACCTCATTGAAACTCCGTTTCAATATTTTTCGAGGGGTAACTCGAGTGATAGTTTCACACTACCGCCATTTATATAAAAATTACTGGCTTATGGGAACGTAATAATTACTGGGAATCACCAACACAATATAGCTCATATTAAAAGCCTGCGGAAAAAATTTATAAGGTTATTACTTTGATTGCACAAACAAATTTGCCTGCAGCTATTAATGTTGCGTGGGTGTATTTTCTCACAGATATCAACATTAATTAGCTGGTGAAATACTTGCGTGACATTGCACGCCATGTTTGCAGGACTATTGTTTACAAGAGTTACCCCGCAAAATCTTATTGTTACATTAAGGAATTATCGTGTACTGAATTTGCCACGCAAAATATTATTGTATAACGGTCGTAAGATTGACCGCATTGTTCGCAGGGCATTATTTTTTGTAAGAGTTACTCCACAATAGCTTATTGTATGACAGCTGTAACATCGCACACATTATTCGCAAGACATTTTTTTGTAAGAGTTACCCCACAATAGTAGCTCATTGTATGTCAGCTGTAACATCACACGCATGGTTTGCAGGATATTATTTTTTGTAGGAGTTGCTCCACAATAGCTTATTGTATGTCAGCTGTAACATCACACACATTGTTCACAGGAATTTATACTTTACAAGAGTTACCCCACAATAGTAGCTTATTATATGACAGCTGTAACATCGCACGCATTATTCGCAGTTCGCAGGAAGGTATAGTTTAAAAGAGTTACTCCACAATAGTTATTGTGTGACAGCTGTAACATCGCACACATTGTTGGCAGGAAGTTATAGTTTATTAGAGTTACCCACAATAGTGGCTTATTATATGACAGCTGTAACATTGCACACATTGTTCACAGGAAGTTTTAGTTTATAAGATTTACCCCACAATATTTAATTTCTAACGGTTATAACATGACACCCGTTGTGTGCAGGCGAGGTGGACGGGGGCAGCATCCTGCAGCAGAAAGCCCTCACCAAGCTCTACTGGGAGAAAAAGATGGCAACTGCCGCCCAGGATGATCTCGGCTGGGAGCCTGTAGCCAACGTCTGCTTCAGGGACCCTAACGCCCAAGAAGTGAGATCTTGCTAATGAATATAAGGCGATGTGTGCTGTAAATATTTCCCATATGTTTTATAGATTACCGTCTTGTATAAGCAAGATTTGTTATTTTATTGCTCTTTCTCGATTTTAGTGCAGTTATTGAAATAAAAACTGCATGATGTAGCATAATTTAATCGCCATATTTAAGATACTGATTACATTTGTGATATTTAAGTTTATCGTTTACGCCTGACTTCATCATTTTAATGAAGCACTATCCAGACACTTGAATAGCCAGACTCATTCATGCTTCATCCATAACGAAGTGTTGATGTTTTAGTCTTTCGTCACCAGCTCAAGTGCTTACCGTGACGATTACACTGTCAGAAAAATTACCGTTAACGGTATTACCGGCGTTTCAGTGGCCGGTCGGCACGTGAAAAGAAACACCGTGTCGCCGTTTTTATTCTAATTTAACACTAGACATTCGTAAAACATCTGAAAAAAAAACGGCGAAACAGTTTATTTTCACGGGGCGACCGGCCACTATAGAACGCCAGTGGGACCGTTTTTTCACCGTTATTTCAGTTTCACCGTTATTACAGTGTACCCGTTGCAGTTTAACATCAAACCGTAATTTCCTCGCATTTTGTTCAGCTTTTGTTCTTAATTAACGTCTCATTGTCGCTCGGCGTGACGCGAGTCACGCGGTGTGCGTTGCTTCGATATCTCCGTCTCGTGATTAAAAACTCTAAAATATCAAACGAGAATCACGCAGACGTAAACAACTTCAAATTTATAAACTTTTAGTCTCTTCGTTCGTTAATATGAAGTTTAAAATAACTTGATTGTTTTCTATCTGAAATTTCACAAAATTGCCTTACATCTTATACTTTGCTAGGAAATTTAGCAAAGATTGTTTCATTGATTTTTTTGCGATGCGTCGACCACGTAATTCGAAATAATTAATCTTATTGTAAACATCATTATTATGAAAGTTACAATAACAATATTTTATTCGTAAGTAAAGTTTTGATTCACATGACCGCAAAAAGAAAGATCATGGCCAATTGATTCCCTTTTGAGAGTACAACAAATTTGTGGCATAACAAGAACGTCCGCTCTCTACTCGTGTGCCACTATTTTATATAATAAAAAATATATTATATTTATTAATATAATATATTCATCTATTATAATATAATAAATAAATTCTGAGATACATGTGAAATAGTATCACAATGTATTATGGAAGTAGTTTATGAATGTATATCAATATTTTCGAATGTGGAAAATGATATAGGCTAGTTTACGGTCTAATTTTTGCTGAAATGAAAGAAAACGACCATATAGAAAGAAAACGATAACGCTCGTGATGTTCGATGGTAAACTACTGTAAACGACATCAACAGAAATTTTTGAACAAACAATTTTTAGGATTTTTATATATCACAAAGTGGAAATCTTGGTTCATATGATCCATAATTCACCGCAATCGATTATCCCACCTTACATAAATGAATGGTGAGTAAACTGTGAGTTATAGTGACTAACGAATACTAACTGTAGTCTGTAGGATTGCGAGTCATAATGACTAACTAAATTGTGAGTCATAAACTCATAATGACTATTTAAATTGTGAGTCAAGATGACTAACGAATATTAACTGTAAGAATACAGTAGGATTGTGAGTCATAATGACTAACTAAATTGTGAGTCATAATGACTAACTAAATTGTGAGTCATAATGACTAACGAAAACTAACTGTAGGATTCTAGTCCCATGTAATGAGTGATGATGTCAGTGCAAGAAACTTGCAGCGACTAATTTACTTTAATTTTAATGATGATAGAGAAACCTTTGTGTTCTTTATTAAATAAATCAAACAACACACGATTTTTTATCATTCTGACTGCTTCAAATATTGCGATTATTAAATTCTAATTTAAATATTAATTTCTCATTTAATTATTTATTATTCTATATGTTTAAAATTCAGCAAGCAGTTCTTCAAATGTAAAATATTTCAAATTCTACTAATTAATTTGTTATTTTATTCTAATTTATTTAAATTATGATGGATGAAGGGATGATGGATGAAGGGATGATGGATGAGGGGGTGATGGATGAGGGGATGATGGATGAAGGGATGATGGATGAAGGGATGATAAGTTCTAGGGCAATCTAGTTCTATGGCAATCTAGTTCTATGGCAATCTAGTTCTATGGCAATCTAGTTCTAAAGCAATCTAGTTCTAGGGCAATCAAGTTCTATGTCAATCAAGTTCTATGAAAATCTTGTTCCTAGGCAATCTAGTTCTATGTCAATCAAGTTCTGTGTCAATTACGTTCTATGACAATCTTGTTCCAAGGCAATCAAGTTCCATGTCAATCACGTTCTATGACAATCTTGTTCCAAGGCAATCTAGTTCTAAGGCAATCTAGTTTCAAGGCAATCTAGTTCTAAAGCAATCTAGTTCTAGGGCAATCTAGTTCTATGGCAATCTAGTTCTATGGCAATATGACCTAGTTCTTTGAAAATCTAGTTCTAATGCAATCTTGTTCTGAGGAAGTCTACCATATAAGGCAATCTATAGTTGTTGGGCAATCTTTCCCTAAGGTAATATACTAACCTAATTCTACAGCAATCTCGTTCTAAAACAATCTACCAGTACTGCAATGTAACTTCTACGCCAAACTTGTTGGATTTCGGTCTATTTCAAAGCAATCCACTTTTATGGCAATACCGTACTAAGATAGTAATAGCTTTTCAGCTCCATTATTGGGTAACTTCGTCCGTGCATGGTTCCAAATATCCAAATCATTTATTTTATCATTTATTATCTTCATCTTTATCCCATTTATTATCATCGGCGCTGTTTCAAAACTCAAATCATTTATTTCTTAAGGAAATTTATAACGCTCAATGTTCCTATACCGGAGGAATTGCACTCTTTGAGATAATGCGTGCCACCTGAAATAAATTTTAGTATAAAGCTAGGTTTCTTCTTGGCACCCGAGTTGCTTATAGTTAGCAAAAACAGCTGTTATTGCTGTTGCTCGCCATGCTGCAAAACATTGCGGGTGGCGTGGATAAACAGTTCCTGAACCCTAAATCTCACACCCAGACTGCAAATCTCGGCCCACAATTATTTCACCAAACCCCGCTGTTAGAAAAAGCCTCTCAAGTAAATAAATTATTACCCCTCTGGCATCCCCGTACCGTTGACAGCGGTAAAGTTTGACCCGCAGTTTCAAGACAACAATTTCCAACAGTTGCCCAGCTGTTGGCCACCGTTTCACGACAACAGTTTCCAACAGTTTCAACGGTTGATCAACTGTTGTTCGCCGTTTCAGGACAACAGTTTCCAACAGTTTCAACGGTTGATCAACTATTGTTCGCCGTTTCAGGACACTCCCATCACCGAAGATCCGACACCTGCGGCTTCCGGAGACGCGGATTTCCTTCCGGCGCCTCCACCGCAGTTCGACAACACGCCACCGGAGTCCATCCAAGACAACGACACCCAACTTCATCCGAAGAAAATTGAGCTCGAAAGAATTGTAAGTTTGGACGACGAGATTTCGGTCCTCGAGCGTGAGGTTCTTGGAGACATCGTGGCGTCTGACGTCGAAGATGACGTTGAAGAAGAGGTAGTCAAACAAAGCTTGAGGGAAAACGACGAACGAACAAAACGTAATCTTAAATACGTTTACGGGGAGGAAGGCGTTCAGGAACTCTCGTCTTCCGTCACGGGTCTTGTGCAGGTTGGTCGACGCACGAATTCTTCCTACAAATAATCTTCCCTGCACCGCGCCGTTTTCTTTTGCATCTTCTGCCTGGATGAATATATTTTGGCAAACATGGGTTTATTACGCTTATTGAATCACTTTCTTCACTCTGGAAATTAATGCACGAAGCTCATATTCTGCGATTCTCAAGCCTTATTTCCGTTTCTGCCGGCACCAATTTTTCCGCCACTTCTTCCAAGCGACAAGTGACCTTCTTCTCAATACCTGATGAGAGAACTGTCGTCTCTGCTGCTACGAAGAATTTAGTTTTTGTCTCCATTTCTACGAAGCACTAAGTTTTCCCGTCTTAATTTGCAAAGCGCTAAGTTCTTCCGTTTCCATTTCTGCGATGAATCAATATTTTTCTCCGCATTCCTGTGACTAAGTTATTTTGATTTAAATTCTGCGAAGAATCTACTTTCAATCCACCTTTCTGTGAAACATTAAGCTCTGATCTCTGCATTTCTTGCAGAGAGCCAAATTATTTCGATTTCATTTTTACGATGCACCAACTTTTAGTCTCATTTCAGCTAAGCACCAAGTCTTTATGACAACATTCCTTCGAAACACCAACGTTGACTCGCCCATAAACTTGTATTCCTTCTCTCGTCGTATTTAAAGTTTCTTGTCGTATCTCCATTTTCTTGTCGTACGTATCTCGTATCTCCATTTCCTTGTCGTATCTCCATTTTCTTGTCGTACGTATCTCGTATCTCCATTTCCTTGACGTTTCTCCATTTCCTTGTCATATCTACATTCCCTTGACGTATATCCATTCCATTGAAGTATCTCCATCTCCCTTGAGGTGCCTCATTCCCCTTGACGTACCTACTTTCCCTTGACGTACCTACTTTCCCTTGACGTACCTACTTTACCTTGACGTACCTCCTTCCCCTTGATCTTTCTCTATTCCATTGACGTATCGCCATTTCCTCGACGTAAAAGTTTATCTGTTTTAAGAGACTCAAAAATTTTAATTTATATTTTAGGCTCTAAGAGCCCCCAATAAAAGGCCGTTGTAAAGGCCGACGATACTCCATGACTCCTAATATCTGATATCGTTGGTCTACTTATCGCAAGTCCACCAAGAATTTATGAGCAATTAATATCTTCTTATTTATATAACTTATATTTTATTTTCTTACTTATATAACTTATATTTTATATTCTTATTTATATAACTTCTTATATTTCCCAAACACAGAATGGTCACGACGATCCTGACAGGGTGCCTACGGTAAAGCATGGGCACGGAGAAGCGCAGGTCAAAGTTAACGTCATCGAGGCCGAAATTCGTGCCCAGCAAGAGCGGGAACGCGAACTGCAGCTCGAACAGATGAAGAAGAAAGCAGTGCTGGAGAAGAACTTGCAGAACAGCAACAAAACTAAGCAGATTAGGCATAAAGATGCTTCGTCGCCGCATGATTCAGACGAAGGTTTTGTTGATCCTCCCGTTGAACGGCCCTCTAACGTACTTACGTCGCCCGTAGCAGTGAACACAGACGTCGGCGGCACGGGCTACACTCATACCGTCACGGACCACGATGGAGAGCCCGTTATTTACGATGCTGTTGAGCCCGTCATGTCTAACAAGTAAGCGTTATCATGGGCCGATAATTGTGTCGAGTATCTTCTATTATGTAAGCAAACTTATAATTGGCACTTATGGTACTGGTTGTCCACTACAATTCTTTTTAAGTCATGTTGAGCCATTGCAGAGTAATGAAAAATTTGTACGTGTCAAGTTTTGACGATTTGAGTCGACATTCGAGCAACGAGATGAAAGTTAATGTTTAAGTTACTGTTATTATTGTGCTAGGTTATTAAGTTAATGTTATTAGTTCGATACTTCCTTTCATGTAGTATTATAGTACTAAATAATGAAATAAATATAGGAGTACTGGTTCATGTTACAGTCTATAACCGTTTTATTCGATACATCATCAATTATCATTTAATAATTCCTCATATAACAAATTTGCACGACAACCAAACCTCATCTGTTGCCCAGGACCGCCCCTGAAGCTCGTGTTGGCCTCAGCAGCCCAGTGTCGGCCAAGCCGCCACCCGCGGCCTCCAACACAACCGAGACCAAAATCGCCCTCGAGATCCGCGAGCTGAAGGAACGCGAAGAAGAACTTCGCCGCATGCGGGAGTTGCGACAAGGCCTCAAAAAGACACAAAATGTTAGCCACAACAACAGTAACAACAACACAAAGACTAACAACAGCCTTGTGAACGGTAATGCACCAGCCAACAGCGCCGGTAACGGCTCCGGCGTGCACAGCGAAGAGTTCTTCGCGGAAGAATACGACGGCGAAGACCATGGCAGCTCGAGCTCCCGGGAGATCTTGGACGACCACCTAACATCCCTCACGACCACCACCGACGAGGGCAACTTCTCTGAATGTGGAGACGCCACCTCCTCCGAGGATAAAAGTTCCAACGGCTCCAATAGGTTCGTGCAACTCAGGGGATGTACATGTTGCTAATTCACTGGCGACTGACCACATTGTCATAAATTTATTTGAAATTGATGAGGAAAATGCCGTCTATGGCTCGTGCGTTATTAGAAAATGCACTTATTATAGTATATTAGAGTTTGTTTCATTCTATTAGAGCATGCGATTATTTCGGTCTATTAGTCTGTTTCGTTCGCACTCTTTTATACTCGAAAATGAAAGACAAGCAGTAAACTAACCTGTATGATGTCCTAAATTGTGCGAAGGCAAAAAATGATATTTCTCGTCTCGTTTTCTAGTGAAGTCACTTGAGTATCGTGCTACCCTATTTTGCGAAGAATTGAATAAGGAAATCAGTTTACCTTTCATTTAATATCGAATTGTAAGCTTGTTTGCATAGTCACCGATTCATTGGATGAGTCCGCAGTCTGAGTCTCTACAAAAGCTCATGGCTACGTTTTTCTCGGGATTGCATCCGACCTGTCTTTCTCTGTGGCGTATTATCATTCAAATACCTCAGTAAAGCAATTAAAAAATTATTCAAAATCTTTTTCGAAATTCGAGTCGCTTGGCTAAACATTGAGTTAAACTGCCACAAAACGTACCTCAAATCGCAATAATGGTTTCCAGTGGACAATCTTCTGTATCGGTTATTGGGACAGATATTTTTAGTGAGCAATTGTTCACTGATAGTAAATTTCATCTTATTATTTGCAAATGGCTGTTTTTCTGTCTGGAATAACAAAAACGGAGAATTTTCATTTTAATCAAGAAGGAAAATAATATGAAAATACAAATAAGATCATATCGCACTTACTGCGATGGTATTTATTTTGGCCAAAACAACCCGGTCTCTTCAGACGCTCGTAAAGCAAATAATTACGGCTTTCCAGGCCTTAACTTACCATCACAAAAATTATCATCATTTACATTCCACTTGAATTTTGACAGCTCCATATTTTACCTCTAATCACAGTGCCACTTTAGCTGACCTATTCTTCAGCAATAATAACGTTTCAACTGTTAATACTAGTAATAATAACAACTTTGTTATTATATATAATATTATTATTGCGACAGTCGCATCGTGTCACCCGAGGTGCCCGCAGGGGAATACCCGCGCCCGTCACGACGCGTCACCGTGCGCCCCTTCCAGGCCGACGACGAAGACGAGCGTCCGGTCTACACCCGGTGAGTGCTGCTGCTATACTGTGCTACTTATTGTGAGATGCAGGGTAAAAACATGCGGTTAGGCAGGGAAAAACTCCCTGTTTGGGGTAATTGGCTTACGTGGTTGGGGTAATTATCTTACGGCATTTTACACCCGGTGAGTGCTGGAGCTATACTGTGCTACTTGTAAGATGTAGGGTAAAAACATGCGGTAATAGCAGGGTAAAACTCCCTGCTTGGGGTAATAATTTAAAAAATTCCCTGCTATGAAAAAATTAGCTTACATGTTTGGGGTAATTATTAGCATACATGTTTGAAGTAATTAGATTACATGTTTGAAGTAATTAGCTTACATGTTTGAAGTAATTAGCTTGCATGGTTGGGGTAATTAGCTTGCATGGTTGGGGTAATTAGCTTACAACATTTTACACAAGGTGAGTGCTGGTGATACTGTGCTATGTATTATGAGATGCAGGGTAAAAACGTGCGGTAATGGCAGGGAAAAATTCCTTGCTTGGGGTAATTAGCTTACATATTACAGGGAAAAATTCGCGCCGAGAAGGGTCATGAGCTGGATTATTGGTATGTGGTCGTCGTAAAATCTTTGTTTCGGTCTTTATTTTGCCCCCGCACAATGGCTGTACTGTGAAATAAATTTCTGCGTTGAAACAAATGATAAACTTACCGCTCTACGTGCAATTAATTTATATAGCTTTTACTGTGGGATTTCTACATTCGTCTGTCATGACTAATTATTTTGATTGCCCAATCGACGGTAGAGTTTATTTTTGAAATTTGTATAGCGAAGAACCTTGAATTGTCGGTTTATTAATTTTGCAAATAACCTTGTATATAAATATATTCTTGATATATATACTCGGGCTATTTACTGGATCTGAAATGTTATTTTTAGCGGAAAAATAGGAAATAATTGGAAGAAAGGAAGCAATATGGATTGGATCAAAAATTGAAGTTTTATTTTTCAATCCATAAATGCGAAATAACTAAGAAAGACCCAAAATGCTTTTCTTAAATTTAGAAACTAGAGAAAATTGGGAGTTTTAGTTATATGGTAAATATGGGTTTGAAAAGGGTCTTCATTTAATCAAATTATAAAAGCTTCATCATTATTAACAGTATCAGGGATTATGGAAATGACAGAATTAGGTATAACTATAACAGGAGTTCGAATTGGCAGGATTTATCAAGCCTGGGCATAGCCGGGCTAACCTGCTATATAGTGTCTGATATACTACAATAAAATTTATATCTTCGGAGGGTATCGCCAGTGAGCATTCAGGAAAAATGTCTACAAAATTTCTCTTTTGCATTGATTGAAATTAATGTTTCAGCATGAACAATAACAGTCTTGTTACTTGGCGACAGTTGGTCAATTGAATCATGTAGACAGGCGAACAAAAACACGAGGGGAATGTTCTCTGTCTGACTTACAGAAATTAAGCAGCGTTTACGCTTTCTGTAGAACCGACCGGACTAACAATAATTTTTGAAAGCTTCTGCTTTCAAAATTCTAATCAGGCTCGAGGTGTGTCATTGTAGACCCTAGCATACTATATAGTAGAAGTAGTTTATTCACTTTATTCATGTTTGGCGGCACGAATCAAAGCTGGTATCCTTGGGAGAATTTGATCGAACTTTCATAACTTTGATGATTTTCAGGCTCGAGGTGTGTCATTGTAGACCCGAGCATACTATATAGTAGAAGTAATTTATTCACTTTATTCTTGTTTGGCGGCACACATCAAAGCTGGTATCCTTGGGAGAAATTGATCGAGTTTTCGTAACTTTGATGATTTTAATTCGGCTTGTTAGCTTCGTCATGCCGAGTAATGCGTACGGGCATCGTTAGCAACCTACATTCTACCCACGCCGGCTGATTTCTTTGTTGTTAATGACAATTTTCTAGCACTGAACTAGTGAACGTTTTTCTGATCAGTGAACTAATTTGAAAATCACACAAAATTTCCTAATAGGATTTGTAGGCAGGTTTAATGAGCAAAATTTCATCAGTTTGACCGATCCTTAGCAGCGTCTCTCGTAAGTCCAGCACGTGGGTGGTTGTTTAAATACCATGAATTGAAAGATAAAAAAGCTCAGCATTTTCCAAGTAATTGAATAAATTATTCTTGGATTGCAGGAAAATTAGTTGTTTTTAAATTTCTGCGGTGACTCTGTGAGGAATTTAATTCGATTTTCGTCCTGCCCATTTATACGAACCTTATTGTGTGATGTCAATCATCTATTGATATATAATAAATAAAATGAGCAACCTAATTAAAGTTCGCATTTTAACAGGCCAAGCAGCAATTTTAATTTTATTATTTGTACCGTGAAGTAAAATTTAAAATGTAATTGCATTTAAAATTTAAAAACGTAATATAAAATGTAAATTTAAAATGTAATTTGCACTAACACGGAGAGCAAAATCCATTTTTGGCGAACGCATGACTTGTTTCCGTGACCGGATCTGTTCTTTGTGCTCGCTCGCTGCACCTGCTTATAACTCGATACTATTCTATAAATATCAATGATGTGTAATATCGCAACCTATCCCAATAATTCTATCTTCCTTAACTTTCATGTTTCATGGGCCTTTATCCATGCGACTTATTTATATTCGATTTATTTATAACTCATAATTAAGTCAACATAATTCTGCGAATAATATAGTTTAATTCGGAGTTAATATTCGTTTGAAGTTGCGTACGTCATTTACTCGGTATTCCTATACAGAACGTCATCAGGTCAGCTCGACCTTATTCTATGTTATACCTACCTGACATGAAATATCGCTAAATAATATAAAACGCACATTTAATATTTGTAAAATATAATGTATGTCACGGTTGGTGATGTATATTAATTTACAATATGGAGAAGGAAATCGACTAAAAAATGTTGTAGTACAAAATAAATGTTGCACTTCAATTTTCTTAATGTCGCGCATTGGCGTCCTAATAAAAGATTTGAAAAACGTTCAGCGTTCGCACCGGTTTTCGGGAAGAACTTTTTCAATCGTAATTTTTCGTCAGTGACGCTTGCTCATGGAGCTACCGACATCATTCTTTTCTGCATGCATTCTTTTTTAGTATTGGTGTGTTCAAATTTATTTTTAAAAAATTTTGATACTATTGGTATGTTCAAATTTAATCTAAATTCCTTTTTAATTTAAATTTAATCTACGGCTTTGCAACTGAATGCCCATTGCCATGCGATAGCATCAGCAGCCGCCACAGCAGCACCAGCAGTCGCCACAGCAGCACCAGCTTCGCCACAGCAGCACCAGCAGCCGCCACAGCAGCACCAGCAGCCGCCACAGCAGCACCAGCAGCCGCCACAGCAGCACCAGCAGCCGCCACAGCAGCACCAGCAGCCGCCACAGCAGCACCAGCAGCCGCCACAGCAGCCCCGTTACTAGACCAGCCTCAGCAGATGGCGTGACACAGCAGCAGCAGCAGCAGCACCAGCAGCAGTAACAGTAGCACAGCAACGCTCTGTGAACACGCAGCAAGGCTTGCAGGCGTAATGTCGTCGCCGCTACCAAGCTTCATTTCAGTTGTTGTCTCGCGAAGCCGAAATTGTCCGAATTTATGATGGATTAGTTGTATGTTTTCTTGTTCCGTTTCGCAGTTTTATTGGCCTGATGCTCGCTGATCGATCTCGTAAATTAAAACGTCTTCCAGTGTCGCTCGCTAACGGCCTTGGTAGCTCACTGTATATTGGCTAAAGGTACATCTCCATCTAACTGATCGTCAGGGTTGGTGCAATTTGAACAAAGAGTTGAATTTGACGCCTTTTTTGGTTTATACTTTTTTTGCTTGTTATTACTTTCTTAATTTATTTTTACGCGTGTATGGAATAGAGTAATTAGTCGTAATCAGTCACCCTTAACTTACCACGCAAAAAATTTGCCTCTAAAACTATTTTCGAGTAAAGTTCAATTTATTTGTAAACCAATATCTTCTTCGTATTTTCTTTGAAACTACACTTTCCGCCCCCGTTGAACTTATAACTTCCTAATTTAATGTAACAAAAAATAAGCTAGAGCTTGTGGCGTGCAGCAGTGCCGTTGCAGAGTAGACGTTTTGGGAGCAGGACGAATAATTATTTTGAATTCATTATTAAGTGCACGATTCGTTAAGCAGGCGAATTATATTTAAGTCCATCACCACCGTAAACTTCAAATTACAGTCAGAAAATACCCGATTAAGTCTCACCCTGATCATGTCTCACCCTGATCATGTCTCACCCTGATCATGTCTCACCCTGATCATGTCTCACCCTGATCATGTCTCACCCTGATCAATGATTATCCACCGTATGTCGGTTGAAAGAGACCTGGGAGTCTTGTGTCGCGTGATGCTGATAGAATAAGTTGAAAATGCATGTAGTTATAGAGAGGCATTCCTTGTTTCGACATGGACTTAAGTTCGGAAATATTGCCGATCATGTTATTTTCTCTCAGTGTCGGAAATTATTGATGTTATCTGCAAATGAGATCGATTTTTTTAGTTTTAACATTCGTATATCATAACAAGAATTAGTTTGATCAATGTGTTGAAATCCTTGGTATATTTTTATTATGCCTTGACAAGATCGATGTTGGCACTAAGGATCTAGTTCGATTCTTGTATTGAATTATTCCATGAAATGGAATTTCATGGAATGCATTTTATTTCAAATGCATTCAATTTGTCCGGTCAATAGCAGTCAATGATTGTCTACTACATTCGCAATTTTCCTTGCCTAATGAATGACCAGGCAAGTTTTTTGATACATTTTCTCGCTGCAAGATGCCGGTTTAACACGAAGTTGTTTATCACTAAACATTTAAGAAAAATTCTTAATTCTTTGCACGTTTACGAATTGCTTCTTTCGAATCTGCTTTCATTCACCTCGTAAATTTATTCAAAATTTTATGATTTTAAAGATTCATTATGTACTTGAATCGTACATTTTTTCTTAAAAAAGTGTCCAGTCAGTTCATTGTTCCTTCCTGC